TATATATATATATATATATATATATATATATAGAGAGAGAGAGAGAGAGAGAGAGAGTAAATGCAAATCTAATTAGTTAATGCCTCCCTTTTATTGTTGAGCAATATTACTTTTAGAATTTTAATTAATTGTTTGCAGTATATTTATTAGATGGAAGCCATTGTGACTCATAAATTTAGTTGTTGAATCCTGCAAAACTGGAAGAATAATGCTAAAGAACATAAAGTGATTCATTTCAAACATGCGTTTTTTTAAACAAATCATTTGTATATTTCCTGACATGTTATTACATTTTTGGTTTTATGTTTTTAGCTATTTCTCTGTGTCCTTGCTGTATTTTGAGTGGGAATGAACCATATCTTGTTTAAACATATCTGTAGTTGATATAGATGTTATTTGTAATTTTATTCATTTCTTTTTGTTACTACAGAATTCCATATCTTCAGATGTGGCCTACCCTGTAGACACACATCTCACTTTCATTGCCCATACTGCTTTTTAACCATTGACAGAAGGGACAGGTTTGTGAATCATTTGGTGAACCACACTATGACTTTCAACATGGTGTGCATCAGCACAGACTCCTGTCCAGCCAGCAGATGCCAACTTGCAGGGAACACAGACTTCTGTCCGCTCAGAAGACATAGTTACATGTGAAATGTGCAATCTGCGCCTGAGAAAAAATAATCTTCGTATTCATTTGAAAAGAAAACACCAGGAAAATGTGGAGCTGATTTCAGAAAAACGACATTTAAGGAGTCAGTGTGTGGATGAACCCTCGTTACTACTCTGATGGCATACCTGGACACTGCCCTGAATGTCAGTACTGAATGCAAGGAGAATAGTACCAGTAGTTGTTTTCCACAGTCTTTCACACATTTCAGTTGTCACACGTTGTTCTTTTTAAATCAGTTCTGCTGAAGTACATTAGCCTTTTGAATTGTTCAGTCATCCTTTGTTTTTCACAATGTGTTCTTTAAACATTATGTACATTTTTTAGTGTTCCTTTTGTTGTAGTTCAGTTGATTTACATTTTTTAGTTTTTTTGTAGAAATGTTTCCAGGCAAAGTTACATTGTGGCTGTAATATAGTAAAGAGAAAGTAGAAACAAAAAAGTAGTTGTACATATATTGTAACAGCATTGTTTAACAATTTCATAACCTACTTTTTAAAATGTGACATGCAAGCACACTTAATAACTTTCAGTATTTTATATGTGTACATACAATGTTTCATATACTTTTGGAGAAATGACTGGAATCAATAAAAATTTTCTTTACAAACCTTATACAGTATACGGCTAGGTTGTTTATGTTTTGACAATAAGAATCAATAGTTGTTTTTTGAATAAAGCAACCACATACAGAACATGTTGTTCAGTTACAAACATGCCCTAATACAAACAAATACAAAAATTAAAGGTATGCTCAGCGACGGTGGAGACTGGGTGGAGGTGATGGAAACACAGGTGAGGAGCAGCTGTTCACATCAAGCCGGACTTTATGAAGAGTATGCTGGTGAAGATTCTTAGTCATCCAGGACATGATAAAATAAAAAGTTCAATACAGAAACACTGGACTTTAAGAGCGAAACGTCTTTATGTTACAAATAAAGTCCAGTTGTTTCTGTATTGAACTTTATAAAGGGTAATTAGATCATTTCTTGTCAAGTAAAAATTCTAAAACCTACTTTCTCTCTGAGTGTGTCCAGGTTGTTTAACGTTTTAAATGAATCCCCACACGACGGACTACCATTTCCAAATTAGGGTGTTTATGCTATATGTAAACACAAGGGTAATGAGGGACTATCTCAATGTTTTGTGGAAAATAATGTTGAAATTCATGACGATATGGGTATTGCAAATGGTTTTAATATTTTTTTTGTAACTGTTGGATCAAATTTGACAACTTCAATTCCTAAAGTGGACAACAATGTTAATTACTTAATCTGGCTGTGCTAACAGTTTGTTTCTAAATGGAGTTACTAAAGAAGAAGTAATGGAAATAGTTGAAAAATCTGCAAATAAAATGTTTAAAGATTGTCATAATATGGAAGTGGCAGAAATGAAGATGTTGTCCGCCCCTTTCTCCAAATAAGGGTATGGACTGACAGTGGTCCGTCCCCGCCCCTTTCTGCGGGCTGCAGCGAGGTGTACTTGCCAAGAGTTAGCGATAAAATTCAAAAAAGGGTCGATGGCGTCATCCAGCGTGTAGCGACCCGCCACTGAGAAATATTCCTCGGTGCTTACCTTGAAACAAGGCCGCTCATCTGCTTCTCCTCGGGGAGGAAAACTCACCGGGACAGCAGGAGGTTGGCGTGGCGGGACCACAGGCAGTCTTAACAAAGGTTGAGCTGGTCAAGCTGGACAACTTCCCTTCTTCATTCTTCTGACAGTGCTATTAGCTTGCTGAAGAAAAATGGGAGCCGATTACCCGCTCTTAACGTAATTTATATGGACCGGGTGGGGCCCACACAACAGGTGGGCGTGGACTAACATTTTCAGTGTGATGCTTTGCATGACGGGATAAACCCACTAGCGACAGCTCTTAAAGGGCAAAGCCTTTACGAAGTAGAACTGATCCACTCCATGCCACACTGCATTACTGCAGTAATCCAGACAAAAGGAGCAACAACTAAGTACTGATGCTGTACATGATCATACTTTTCATGTTTGTACATTTTATATTCATACTTTTCAGTTGGCCAACATTTATAAAAATACTTTATTGGTCTCAAGTAATATTCTAATTTTCTGAGATACTGTATTTGGGGTTTTCATTAGTTGTCAGTTATAATCATCAACATTAAAATAAACATTTGAATATATCAGGCTGTGTGTAATGAATGAATATAATTTACAAGTTTCACTTTTTGAATGGAATTACTGAAATAAATCAACTTATCATGATATTCTAATTGGATGACCAGCACCTGTATGAAGAGCTCTGGAACATTCTTTTATTTCCCCACATCAGATAAAAAGATGGTAAATAAATATCCAACCAGTACTCGGTTTACAATCTGCGTCCTCATGGACTTGAACCCCCAACTCTCTCTGACGACTGCTCCAACCACTCATCCACAGCTGCCCATAAGAAACAACCTCTTAATTTGAAATTCACTGAATGCTGAAGTTAAGATGATTGTTGGCCGATTCCAAACACGTCTCATTTATTTTATTATGAGAGAAAACAACATAAACATCAGTCATGAGGGAAGTGATCTCCACCGGAACGTCAAACTGCTGCGAGTGATTCAAACAACGGAAAACCCTGATGTCCCGAAACACCCGAACGCACCACTGTCACCGAGGGGATGTAGATTGACCATCACAAGTGGTTTTAATGTTGTGGCTTACTGAAGTCATCGTTCAGATCTTTTGAAGCTTCTGTGTACATTATGATTAATTATCATCTTACCTGCTGTAGATGGCTCTGTGAACGTCAGACTGGAGAGTTTAATTCTGACTGGACCGAGGAGCTAAAGGCTAGTCTGAGCAGAGGCAAGGCTTTGCTGCCGTCTTAAGACTCGATCACTAAATGCTACTTGGTAAACCGTTCCACCACCATCAGGCGTGCAACAAGGCGGGCGATAATGTAATGCCTCACGAAGCACTGGATGATTTAATCAAATTCTCAGAAATCAATCGTTGGACGTACATTTTGGAGCCAGTCCATTCTAGGTGGCTGCTGCAGTCAACTCCTCACAGAAAACAAAGATGGCTACGCCTCAGTCACGTTGGAACTAAAATCTGAGGTGGTGGTAGCTGAGAGTCATCCTCAACACACTCTGAGCAGAGCATCTCAAGATGGTTTTCAAGCTTTGACCAAACCCCTCCATCAGAAGACCATCTCAGGCTACAATGCAGGAACTGTGGTGGGAGATATGCATTCATGCAAGAACTTGTTAATTCACGTAGTTTTAGGACTATCTGCAAACACCAACAGCAGCAGCTAGGGCACTTCCTGCAGAGATCTCACAGCACTTCACCAAATCAATCATGTAATGCACAACTGCTTCAAACAACGCTGTTCACTCAGATTATCTGCTAATCCAGTCAGAAATAAACTTCATCTCCAAACTGAGCTTTTTTAAAGAGCCATCTAGAACAGGTAAGATGTTTACTGTTCATCACATCCCACTCCTACAGATCGGAGTGATCTTCATTATAAATAAAAATCTACTTCATCTGGTACTGTTTGTAAATAAAGCTGGATGATGGGAGGCTGCAGGAGAGGAGGAGCTGCAGGAGAGGAGGAGCTGCAGGAGAGGAGGAGCAGCAGGAGAGGAGGAGCAGCAGGAGAGGAGGAGCTGCAGGAGAGGAGGAGCAGCAGGAGAGGAGGAGCAGCAGGAGAGGAGGAGCTGCAAGAGAGGAGGAGCTGCAGGAGAGGAGGAGCTGCAGGAGAGGAGGAGCAGCAGGAGAGGAGGAGCAGCAGGAGAGGAGGAGCTGCAAGAGAGGAGGAGCTGCAAAAGAGGAGGAGCTGCAGGAGAGGAGCTGCAGGAGAGGAGGAGCTGCAGGTGAGGAGGAGCTGCAGGAGAGGAGGAGCAGCAGGAGATGAGGAGCAGCAGGAGATGAGGAGCTGCAGGAGATGAGGAGCTGCAGGAGATGAGGAGCTGCAGGAGAGGAGGAGCTGCGAGAGGAGGAGCTGCAGGTGAGGAGGAGGAGCAGGAGAGGAGGAGCTGCAGGAGAGGAGGAGCTGCAGGTGAGGAGGAGCTGCAGGAGAGGAGGAGCAGCAGGAGAGGAGGCGATGCAGGAGAGGAGGAGCTGCAGGAGAGGAGGAGCTGCATGTGAGGAGGAGCTGCAGGTGAGGAGGAGCTGCAGGAGAGGAGGAGCAGCATGTCTGCGCCTGTTCATGGTTCCATCACGGTTTGTCTCTATCCAGCAGCTCCTGCAGCTCGTTTTTGATGTCCTCCGGCAGCTCCAGGGGGGGCAGGTCATCCAGACACAGATCTTCCTGAGCTGGCATCTCCAGGGGGGGCAGCGGAGGGATTGCAATCTCCTTGCTTTTCCCAGTACTCTTCCTCTCCTGCCCACTTCCTGTTCCCATGACGCTCCCCGCCTGAGGGAGCACCCAGAGCTCCGAGCGCTCCACGAAGTCCGCCGCCTCTGAATGCAGCCGTGCGTTTTCCAAACGCAGACGCTCGTTCTCGCCCGACAGGCGCTGGTTCTCGTTCATCAGGTGGTCCACCAGGCGCCGCAGGTCCTCGATGGTGGTCTGCTGCTCCTCCAGGCGGGTTTTGTCGTCTTTGGTGGTTTTTGATCCGGAGCAGGGCGGAGTGGAAGGCTGGCAGCTCCGAGTCTGCCGGACCTGGAACTGATAAAGTAAGGTGTCGTATTCCCTCTCCTCTGCGGCGCTCAGGCCGTGAGCGCGGTCTGGGTGCTGAGTTTCCACAGAGATCCCCGGCACACCTAGAGGATGCACCGGGCGGGGGCGGGCCTTGGTCGCCTCACGGCGAGCTTCTCTCCTCCAGCGCTCTTGGATCAGCTGCTGCTGCTTGATGTGGCTGTCTCGCTGCAGCTCCATGGACAGACGGGCCTGCAGGAACCACACACACATGAAACCACACTAAACCTTTTGTGATTCAGGTCCGTTAGGATTCACTAAACAAACGTCTGAATAAATGGAAGATTTTTATCACGGTCGTCATCGTCACAAGTTTACACCTCCTTAGTTCTTGGTAGTCTTTAAAGTGTATGACTTAGGGAAAAGGACCTCTAGGGGGCGATTATGGAGTATCTGATGATATCTTCCCCTCGGCGCCGGAGCTGGACCGGGCCCATCGCAGCCTGATACCCAAACCGGGCCCTACAGGCAGGCCTCGGCCTGTCATAATTTGCTTCCACCGATATCAACACAAGGAGCTGGCGATTCGTGAAGCCCGGAAAAGAAGGAACTTGGAGTATGAAAACAACTCATTCAGGATGTATGATGACTACTCTCCAGATGTGGCCAAACAAAGGAAAGAATACAGGTCGGTGATGTCATCCTTGTATAAACTGGGTCTAAAACCAGCGCTGATGTTCCCAGCAAGACTTCGGATTACTAACACAGACGGTACCCGCACAACATTTGGCTCCGTGTCTGATGCTGAAAAGTTCATCCAAACTTTTAACAGTTCTGCCTGACTGATGGCTCTGGAGGTGCAGAGCTACAGAACGGATTCAGATAATGTATAAACGTTTAATTATTGAGGTTGTTGCAACTGGTCTATTTTCACCTCAGTAAGTAATAGACATTATTTTTGCTATGGGCTGTTCGGTGTTTGCCCAATTTTTTTTTCATTTTTCAATTTTTTTTATTAATGACAAGATTTTACTTTGGCTTGGTGGTTTTATTTGTGTTTAATATTACCTGTAAGGCGAGGAGGGGGAGAAGATTTATTTAGGTAGTAGTAGCATAGAGGTGTTACATTTAGAGAAGTTAGGTGTGCTGTTTGTTCCAGCAGCTATTTTCACCAGGGGGTTATTGGGAAGGGGTGGGGTGGGAAGTGGGGGGCTTACTGTCACTGTTAAAATGATGTTTTTCTTTTCGCTCAGCCAGGATGTATTTCTTTATTTGCCTGATACCTTGACATTTTCTGTTCTGTTTTTTCTTTTTTATTATGAGTAATATGGCAGGCAACTTTAAAATGATTACCTGGAATGTTAAGGGTCTGAATCATCCCATTAAAAGGAAAAAGGCCCTCACACATATGAAAAATTTAGGTGCAGGAATTATGTTCCTTCAAGAAACTCATCTCAATAACCGAGATAGTATCCGTTTAAAGTGTGGGTGGGTGGGGCAGCTTTTTCATTCAACTTTTCAGGGTAAAGCCAGAGGAGTTGCAATACTTATTAATAAAAATATATCATTTACACCTGCAGTGGTGGTTGCTGATCCTAATGGAAGATATATTATTGTAACTGGAAAACTTTATAATGTGAATGTGACATTAGCTAATGTTTATGCTCCAAATTTTGATGATCCTCAATTTTTTTCTCGTCTCTTTAGGCTGCTCCCGAATTTAGATACTCATCCGCTGATTATGGGAGGGGATTTCAACTTATGTCTTGACCCTGTGCTGGACAGGTCTTCGGTTAAGCCGGGCTATATTGTATCCAAATCGGTAACGTATATAAAGTCCTTTCTTTCAGATTATGGTATATCAGATCTTTGGCGTCTTTTGCACCCTCAGGACAGACAATACTCTTTTTTTTCCCATGCCCATGGGAGCTACAGCAGGATTGATTATTTCTTTATTGATAATAAACTAACATCATACGTGCAGAACTGTGAATATCAACCCATAGTGGTGTCTGACCATGCTCCTCTCTCAATTGAATTTAGGATACCTGAAGTAGGGGCCCAAAGAAAGTACTGGCGGTTCAACTCCCTCCTGTTGTCTGATGAGAACTTTGTTAAATTTATGTCGAACCAGATCTCCCTTTTTTTAGAAATTAATATGACCCCAGATGTTTCAATTTCTACTGTCTGGGAAGCCTTCAAGGCATATATAAGAGGTCAGATAATATCCTTTGTGGCTAAGAAGAAAAGGGACTCTATGTCCAAGCAAATCGAACTCGAGAGTCAAATCGCAGACCTGGACAGCAGAAATGCACAAGCTCCATCCCAACAGTTGTATAAAGAACG